GGGAGCCCCTGCCAGGCAGCAGCCACGCACCCACCATGGGCTTCACTTCCCCCTGAGCACTGCTCACACATGGGAAATCACCCCCTGAGCTCCAGGAACCACACACGCCATCAGCAGCTGGACTGTGGTGGGAGAAAGAATGGATTTGAAGGGCTCCTGGGCTGCCTTTTGGTGACTAAAGAGCAAAGCCTTGTCTCCACGCTGGCTGGGCACACACAGGCTCAACCAGGGACCTTCCTGCTGCCACCCACTTCCCAAGCCCAGGAGCTCGGTGGCAGAAGCGTCTGGCTCAACCTCTGGCGGAGGATGAGCCATTTACCCTGATCTACCAGTCCTGAGATAAAGCCTGGTCCCGCAGGCATCTGCCCCGTGAGATGAAAGGCGCCGCTGGGCTGCCCTGGCAAAGCCAAGGAGGAAAAACATTCCAGGGGTGTTGCTCAGCACCGGCCGCGCTGGGCTGGATTGGCAAAGGCTGCTGCCACCCGTGCCCGGGCCGGGGCCTCCAACAAACCTTCTCTCCTTGTGGTCCAAAACGGCCCCAAACCCACCAAACAAGGTCCCTGCCTTCCCCTTTCTTAGTGGGGGGGGCACATCCTGGGGTAAGGCCATGCTGCAAGAGACACCAAAGCCCCGCGGCTGCAGCTCAGCCGCAATGCGCACCCCAGAGCACACAGCGCTGTCACAAACACCCCCTGCCCCCAACCCCCAAGTTCTCCCAAGGCTGGTGAGGGCACGCTGGTGAGGCCACACTGGAGACCCAGCGTGTCCAGAGCAAAACCAGCAGCTCCCAGTGAGGTTCTGTTCTCCTCAGGAACACAGGTAGGTCACTGCCTGCTCTGGTCACATTCTTTTCATACTCCAAGCTCCAGCTCTTGTCACAGAAACCGAGTCACAACCACACCTGGGTATTTGTCTCTCCTTTTTTAATCAGCTGTATTTTAAGTAGCTTGGAAATACATTTTTCTCCATCCAAACCGTTGTTTTTCCTGTCTATCACCCGATCACGATAGTTGGGCTGGTCCTTGCTCTGCTGCACACCCCGTCCTGATGGCAGCACAACGGGAAAGGCCGCTCAGGCAGGACTGCAACAGGGAGAAGGTGTAAAACATACAACAGACCAGGCAAGGCTGCTCTCCGTTGTGATCCCAACGATCCGCAGGCTGGTAACACACCTACAGGCAACGGCCATGTGGGGCCTGGTGCGCCTGGGGTGGGATGGGACACTTGGCACCACGGCGCCGGGCACTTACCCTGTCCTGTTCCTCAAATCATGCAGAACACCTCGCTGAGCTGAAATGTCTCTTTATTTGACAGCAGTAATAATTTAGAATTATAAAAACCCCTTTTCAGTGTTGAGTATCAGAAGGGCGAGGTTATAAAGAAAAAATAAGTGGGATTGGAGCTGGGGCCGGGCGGGATAACGGGGACTAAGTCACGAGTTCATTCGTTCAGTGACAACTATCGGCCGTCCCCAGCTGGGGGATCCTGGGGGGAGGCAGCATCGTTATGCTTTCATTTTAAAGACTTCAAAGCAGAAGAGAGAGGATCCAAGGGGAGGAGGAGCAAAAGAAAGGAAGGAATCTCAAATTCAAAACCATACGAACAACCTTTCCATTGGGAATCACAACCGCGAGCTCAGCGCCTCAGGGGTCCCGGCCAGGGAGCGCGGCAGCTCGGCACTGCTCAAAGTCCACGCACCAAAGGGATGGTTTATTAACTGACAGAGCTCTTTCCCCCCATCACAGGACTTGAGGCTTCTCGTCTCTGAAGGAGCCAGAGTCTCCGTGTCTTCGGAACTGAAAAGGGAACCTGGGGCATTGCCTCCCCCCGTCCACCCGCCCCTCGCTCTGCTCTGGAAGCCCTGGTCGATGGCTGGGGAGGGGGGAAGGACAAAGGGCCCCAGGGACAGGGAGTTTGGAGGAAGGTTCATGAGTTGTTTGATGAGTTTTCGTTACTTGGTGAGCTGGAGGAAGAGGAGGAGGAAGAGGAGGAGAAGTTCATCCCTGTGAGTCCTGGGGGGTTTGTGGCAGTGTTTTGTCCACTTAGGCTTTTCCGGCACACAGGACACGTGTCGTGCTGAGGAGAGGAGACAAAACCAGAACAAGAAAGGTGGGAAATGAGGCTAAAAACGTGACAGGGGAGCAGCACTGGAGGAAAAGGCCATGGGGACACTCCTTGGGTCAAATGCTCCAGCCTCATCATGAAAAGAGTCACAGAGGGGAAGGGTGCCCCAGGCGCCCGTCACCCAGCCAGGCAGCACTGACCTGCTCCAGCCACGGGACTATGCAGCTGTTGTGGAATAGGTGATTGCATGGTAACTGTCGGACGCTCTCCCCGACTGTGTAGTCCTCTTTACACACGGGACACTCTAACCCAGAATCTGCACCACGAAGGGAAAGCAAAACACGGCTCAGTGAAGGAGAGAATGAGGCTGACCCAGGACCCTGTCACCTCTTCTCCTTCCCCCTTCCAGCCCTGCAGAGAGGAAAGGTTCTGCAGTTCCCACCCCAGCTCCACCTCCCGCTGCCCCGGGTTCACTTCATTGCTCCCTTCCCTTCTGCTTGCTCAGCTCTGTCCACACTGAGCTCTGCAGAACAGTCTCCCCAGGGCAAACCCATCCAGGCCACACTCCTCTTGGTTTTGTGTGAGTACAACAGAGCAATGCTTCAGCGTTCTGCCTCTTTGAAACGTTTGAAGGTACTAACAGACAAGATTAAAACCCCAAGAAAACATTCCCAGTGGTCTTGGTGACTGGTTCCCTGGAGGAGACACACGTACCTACGTGTTCCTGTGCAATCTGTATGGTGGGGAGGGCCTGGATCTTCTCTTTGTCCGCTGGTGGCGGTCCAGTGTTTTCAAACTGATTTAGTAACTGAAAGAGAAGAGGCCACCAAAGGCAGATGTGAGCTCAGCAGTACACAGGACCCCTTCATTTACTGAACCCTGCACCACAGAGGTGCTGACCACCCTGCAGCACCACATGAGGGGACAGGAGGCTCCATTACCTGTGTAATAATGGCATCCAAGCCGTTGGCACCCCACGCATAGTCCATCGGGTTTGAATGCAAGACCCCCCTTGAAGAAGAAGGACAACAATTACATTTGGCTGGAAGCACGGACAAGAACACTGTCAGGAAGAGCAGTACATCTTCCAACTCACCAAGGACCTAGTCCTAGGTTTGGTATTGTTGTAGGTGCAATAATTCCATTGACCAGCTGCTGGATAATTCTGAAAGACAAGAAAACCAGGATTATTGGAGCAAGTCCAGCGGAGGCCATGGATTTGCTGCGAGGGCTGGAGCAGCTCTGCTCTGGAGCTAGGCTGAGGGAGCTGGGCTGGGTCAGCTGGAGAAGAGAAGGCTCCTCAAGGGGAGACCTTACAGCAGCTCCAGGGCCTAAAGGGGCTCCAGGAAACCTGGAGAGGGGCTTTGAACAAGGGATGTAGGGACAGGACAAGGGGAATGGTTTTAACCTGCCAGAGGGGAGACTGAGATGAGCTCTGAGGCAGAAGCTCTTCCCTGTGAGGGTGCTGAGGTGCTGGCACAGGGTGCCCAGAGAAGCTGTGGCTGCCCCATCCCTGGCAGTGTTCAAGGCCAGGTTGGACACACGGGCTTGGAGCAACCTGCTCTAGTGGAAGGTGTCCCTGCCCAGGGCAGGGGTTGGAACTGGATGAGCTTTAAGGTCCCTTCCAACCCAAACCACCCTGTGACACCCCAACTGCCCATCAGGAGCAAAAGGAACCATGAACATCCCGTAGCCTGCAAGCGCCTCCTCCTCGGACTGAGGAGCAGCTTCAGGCTGATTCCAGCTGTGG